AAAATTACTTTGAAAATTAAAGCATGCTAAAATGTTACTCCTAGAAGCTTCTGAAAAGGTTCTCTAAGATCTCAAATATAGCTCTTTGATGACTTGATACTTTATCAATTTCAATGCACCTGCTGGCAGGGAATTTCTCAACTCCTCCTTTGCATTTTATGAGTAACAGATCTATCTTCATGCCCATTAATTCTGCAATCAGGCTATAATACAATTGGCCTATTTTTCCAACGCCAGCTTTCTATGTACCTTAGCTTATTATTAATGATGCCATCAAATATTGCACTACATCTTGGGTCTTCATTTTTAGTGCTCATTTGTTGCTGTTGGGATTAGTATGCAAATATCAGTTATATGTCAATTACAGTGTCTTCTTTTGTTTTCACCGGTGGAGATTAAATTACAGCTTCGCAAGTAGTGCTTAAGGTGAACAAGCAAGCAGTTAGTATAACATAATAGAAGTAAGAATGTCTGTTAGTTGGACCCCACACGTGCCTAAATTGACCACTGGCCTGTTTGTTGGCTCCATGATTTCTAAATATGCTAGTTTCAGGTGTTTTCTTACTCTAATATAATGGTGGAGAAGTCAGAAGGTGGCAAAATGTTGTAGAAACAGACTTTTGGGTTCAATGATTATTGTCTATCTTAGAAATGTATATTACTATACCATTGTACCTAGAATTTGAAGGCGAAGAATGCATGACTGTAATTAGACATGTCATATTTGACACCGGAAATTCAGTTGGTTTGCATTAATGATGCTCGGGTAATTTAGTTATATAAGCGCGATTGATTTTGTATTTCGGATCAATTCAAGAAAAGAAAAATAATTACTACTTAGTATTATATTTGGGTAGAAGAATATAAAATTCGAAAAGTATCTCATTCACAGAGCAGGACTCAATGCAGCACATATCACTTCTCAACTAAAATTAAAAGCATATGAAAGTGAAACAACAGATCATATCAGATCAATCACTCAAGTGAACATAAATTGAATTTGGAACTCTAATATTCAAAAACTGAGACATTCAATTGTAATCTTTATTATGACAAAAATTGCAACAAATTAAAGTTGTTAAGTGTTTTAACATTTTTTATAATCAATTTCTTCTAGTATTTTTTTAATTTACATTATAGCTAATCAATCATATGATTAAATAGTTCTCTCTCTTTTTTTTTCTTTTTTTTTTAATAAAAAACTTTTAATTTTACCTTAAAATATTATATCTATTTTGAAGATTGATGAAAGTTGAACGAATCGACAATGGAGACCCTAATCTAATACTGCCATATTTGAGCTCAAGAGAGAAGAGAAGAAGAGAGTATTGTTTTGAGAGGAAATGAAAACGTGTACTGTTACATTGAGCTACATATATGGACAACTCAACTTCCATTAACCACCTAACTAACATTCCACGTGTACACATATTTACTACTAACTAACTGAAATAATAAGCTTCTACTACCGTATACTAATACATCATGTAATTTCTATTTTATCACTCCTCCTCAAGCTGGTGGGTACATAGACATTGAGCACTCACAGCTTACCAACTAGATACTCATGTTGTGGTCTTCCCAAGCCTTTAGTTAGAAGGTCTGCTAGTTGCTCTTTTGAAGAGATATACTGAGTCTTCAACATCCCTTCCTGTATCTTTTATCTAATAAAATGACAGTTAATCTTTATGTGCTTTGTTCTTTTGTGAAATACTGGATTTGTTGCTATTTGTATAGAAGCTTTGTTGTCACTATGCACATATACTGGTAGTTTTACTTCTGTTCCCAACTTCTTTAGCAATAATGTTAGCCAAATAATTTCTGAGACTGCACTGGTCATGCTTCTATACTCATCTTCAGCTGAGCTTTTAGAGATTGTGCTTTGCTTCATAGATTTTCATGAAACTGGGGATCCTCCATGCTTAATTTGGTATCCTCACACTGACTTATGACACTCAATCAACATCACAAAAAATATTGAGCTCGTTTGAACTTTGACTGGTCAATAAGATCCCTATTCCTAGCTCCATTTTAATGTATTTCACCACTCTTATAGATGCATCCCAGTGAGACTTCTTTGGCTGTTGCATAAACTGGCTAAGAGTCTGTACTGGCCTGGACATAGTCAAATACAACAAATTCCCAATGAGTTCCTGATATTGACTTGTATCTTCCAACAGTTGATCTTCTCTTGTTCCCACCAATTTGTCCAGTTCTGGAACTGTCAACTTGATATTTGCCTCTAATGGAGTCCAGGCTGGCTTTGCTCCTCCTAATCCCAAATCTGATATTATTTCTAGTGTATACTTTCTTTGGTTGATCAAAATATCCTTGTTGAACTTGCTGAATTCCATTCCAAGAAAGAACTTTCACCTAAGTCTTTTATCTTTAAGGCCTGTTATAAGGAGACTTTGGTGGTTTCAATCAACTGTAGGTTGTTTCATGTAACCAACATATCATCTACATATATCAGTATCAACACTATATCTATTCCATTCTTCTTAATGAACAATGAATGATCTAAGTTGCTTCGTTTGAACTCAGACTACACCAGGGCCTCTGTTAGCTTTAGGTTCCATTGTACGTTTGCTTGTTTCAGACCATAGAGATTTTACAAGTCTACATACCAATCCAGATTCTCACTGACTTGTAAGATCCTGTGGCAAGTGCATATACACCTCATCATTTAAGTCACATTGCAGAAATGCATTATATACATCTAGCATGGACTGACCAGTTGTGCATGCTACCAATGAAAGTACAATTCTCACAGCGGTGATCTTCACTACAGGAGAAAAGGTCTCATTGTAATCAAGACCCTCTCTTTGATTGTATCCTTTAGCTACTAACCTAGCTTTGAATCTTTTACATCACTAGTGGCCTTGGGTTTGACCTTGTACACCCATTTGCAATTTATGGCTATCTTCCCTTGAGGCAAATAAACTAGTTCCCAAATATTGTTGTCTGGCAAAGCTTGAATCTCCGCTTGCATAGCTTCAACCCATATTAGATTCTTTGAAGCTTCCTGAAAGGTTTTGGGCTCAACAACAGAAGAGAAAACACCCAAATATGCCTGTTAAGAAGAAGAAAAATGATGATAGGAGACATAGTTTTATTGGATATAATACATGGTTAACTGATTTCTTTATGGTGACATAATCTGTAAGCCAAACAGGTTCTTTAGATTCCCTTTGTGATCTTCTTAGGAGGTTAGGATATGTGCCTGCAACAGGAGGAGAAGGGAAAGTTGTGATAGCATCAGAATCATTGATTACAGGAGGGGAGCTTTCAATGGTAACAGAAGGTTGATCTTCTTCAACAGGTGAGTGTGCAATGCTATCTGAATCATACAACTGCGCAAGATCAGGAATAGGATCACATGCATTGTTATCTAAGACACACATTTGCACAGTTGCAGCAGTAGGATCTTCTGTATTTGCACCTTCAATACCAGAATCAACATCAGTAGTATTGGGAATATAAGGATAGATTGGTTTCCTTAAGTCATCATTTTTGAACTTCAAAAGGAAACATAGATTTCCTAAACACCACATCTCTGTTGATAAAGAACTTGTATCTTTCTAAATCATAGAGGATGTATCCCTTAGTGACACCAGAGTATCCCATAAATGCTGCCTTGACAGCTCTACTGGCAAACTTATCAGTCTTGGGTAGGGAACTTTCAAAGCATAAACATCCAATGTTTTTAAATGAGAAATAGTAGGCTTCTTGCCAAAGAATAACTCATATGGTGACTTACCACCAAGTGCATGTAATGGTAGCCTGTTAATTACATATGCTGCTGATAAGTGTGAATTTTGACTGCTTATTAGCACCTTTTAGCTTTTATTTTATTCTAAAAGTATTGAATTGTGTTGCCAAAACTAAGGAAATTGTGCAAATTGTAGGAATGCTTGAAGTTTGGTTCCCGAGATGAAATCCGACTAAAAAAGGAGTATTCCAAAGCACAAGGCAATAAAGGATGCATAAGCACAAATATGCGATCTACAGAAGAAATTATGGACCACAAAATTCTATATGCGGCAGTAAACCAAAAAGGAACTCCCAACAAGACTTTCAGAAATGTGCGGATCACACATGAATTGTGCGACCGTAGAAATGGGGTTTTACTGACAAAGATGCAAAGTTCAGAGGGTATTCTAAAAGACCAAGTCTTGTAGCCTTTGTGAAGTGTGGATCGCATAAGAATTGTACGGCCACAGAAGATTGCCTCGCGACAACAGTCCAGAAATGTGTGGCCGTAGAAGATTTCCCCTTGGCCGCAGTTCAGAAATGTGCAGCCACAGGTCTCCTTTTCCTGCCAAATGAAAAAATCTACGAACCACACATGGAATTGTGCAGCCGTAGAACCTTCCGAGGTGAATTTTTGTCCGCGATTTTCAGCCCTTTATAAATAGACGAGTTTCACAAAATTAGGTCTAGTTTGAACATCTGAAGTTGTTGTAGCCATTTTTCTTTGCTGCTTTAGGAATTTTTACATAATTTTGGTGTATTTACATTACATTTCATCATTTAATCTTCCATTATGAGTTTAATTTGCTTTTATTCTTTATTTTCTTCAAATCCTATTATGAGTAGCTAGATTTTCACTAGGGTTGTGACCTAACCCTAGTGTGTAACCCATAAAGGTATCTAATTTAGTTCTTGTTTATGATTTAGTGTTAATTATTTAGCTTAGTTCATACTTTAATTTTAGAATTAATGATTGAAAATATGATTCATGTCTATTTCACTTAGTCTCTACTTGAGAAAGAGGGTTCTAGTCTTGGATAACTCAGCTAACAAGGAATTGGGTCAATCGAGAGATTGATTAGCCCCATTAAAGGGTTCAACTAGAGATAGTAATAACCCGACTTGAGCTCTAATAAACTGTTTTGGTTGATACACATTTGGTCTTGAGAAAGCCAAATTGGGTAAAACCACTCTCTGACCGAGAGGTATTGAGTGGGTAATATAGAGTTGTGAGGTATAATACATCCCAATCAATAAAACAAATATTAACGTCTTTATTCCATTAGGCAAACACCTAGGTTGTGGTCACAACCCTAGGTCTTTTACCAATTTGGAAAAATCTTAAAAATATTTACTTCTAGTCTATTCTCTTTAGCTTTGTAATGATCCGGACGGTCATTTTGAGAACTAACATCCTGTTCGGTGACTTAAGGTCTCGAGAAGCTCCGTATTATATGTTATGGCATGCGTGCATGGTCGAGTTTGGATTTTAGATGATTCGGAATTGATTTGGAAGAATGGTTCATGTTTTAGAAGCTTAAGCAGTAAGAGTTGACCGATATTTGACTTTTGGTAGACGACTCCAAAATGGGATTTTGACGATTCTAATAGCTTTCTATGGTGTTTTTTGACTCAGGTGTGCTTCCGGATTTGAATTTGGAGGTCCCAGGGTAATTTTAAGTATTTTTGCAAAAATTTAAAAAACTGAAGTTTTGGAAGGTTTAGAGGTTTGACCGAGAGTTGACTTTAGTGATATCGGGGTCCGAATGAAATTCCGAGAGTTGGATTAGCTCTGTTATGTTATTTAGGACTTGCATGCAAAATTTGATGTCTTTCTGGGTTGATTTGATATGGTTCGGCGCGAGTTTTGGAAGTTAGAAGATTTGGAATTTTATAAGTTCGATTCGAGGTGCGACTCGTAGTTTTGACATTGTTTGATGTGATTTGAAGCCTCGAATAAGTTTGTATCATGTTTTAGGATGTGTTAGTTCGTACCTTGGGTGTGTTTTGGATGGGTCACGGGCCACTTCTTCATGTTTTAGTGTTGCTAGTTTTTGGTGTGACAGTTGTTCTTTGTGATTACAAAGATGGAGTTCTGATTGTGAAATGATTCTAGGAACTCAGTGAGTTTTGTTCAACGCGTTCACGACATAGTGCACAAGATAGTGTAAGGTCCAGTTGGTGTAGGTCCGCGTTCGTGATGTTTATCCCGCGCTCGCGTAGATTTGGAGTTGGAAGGGGGAATCAGGGATTTGTTCTTCGTGTTTGCGTCTACGGGTTTGCAATCACGTATGCTTAGGTCACTATTATTCACGTTCGCATCTGTGGTTTTGTGATTGCGAAGCCAGTTTTGGACAATCTTCTTTTTCTTCTTCGCAATCGCGATGTATTAATCACTGGGAAGAATATAAAGGTACTCTATTTTGAGGGTTAGCCATGTTTAGCATTTTTGGTGTTGTAGACCTCAGATTTGAGCGATTTATCGTGAGGTTTTCAAGCAAATCATTGAGGTAAGTGTTCTTCACCCGGAATTTATTACATTTCATGATTCTATCTTTATTTTTATCTTATAATTAGTGTTTTGAGTTGAGGAAAATGGGAATTTTTGAAGAAATATTTCAAAATGTAAAATAATTATTTGAAGGACGAATTGATGTCAGAAATTGATAATTTTGGTATGGTTAAACTCGTATCAGAACGGGTGTTCAAATTTTGTAAATTTTATCGGGTTTCGAGGTGAGGGCCCGGTGGTTGACTTTTTAGTTTTTGTTAAAGATTGATACTTTATTATCTGAAATTATTTTTTATGAGTTTTATTTATGATTTGAAGTTAATTTGGCTAGATTTAAGCCGTTCGGAGGTTGTTTTACTTGAGAGAGTCATTTTAGATTATCGGTCTAGCTTCTTTGAGGTAAATATCTTGCCTAACTTTGTGTGGGGGAACTACCCCTTAGGATTTGAGTCTTTGGTGCTAATTGTGTCATGTGAAGTCTGCCTATGCGAGATAACGAGTACGTGCTCGGGCGTATTTGTGGAAAATTGATCATTTAGGGCTCTTAGGTTCTTATGTTCATTAGATATGAAGTTGTGTGGTTATGTTAAATTTTCCATTTACTAGTTTCACCTCCACGTGTCTCAATTGGAGTTAATTGCTTCATGTTCCACTCTTATTGCCTATTTGAATCTTATGTGCCTTAACTGAAGTTGTTGCCACTTCTATTGCCATGCTATCCTTCCCTAGTTGCTTATCCTTAATTGAAATTATTATTATCTCTTCTGTAATTGTCTACCCTTAATTGAGGTTATTATTATATTTTATATTGCTTATCCTTAATTGAATTTGTTGTATCTGTTTCGTAATTGCTCAACCTTAAATGAAGTTTAGTCATCCTTTATCATAGTTGACTTATCCTTATTTAGAATTATTGACTCATGTTATCTCCATTGTTGTCGAATTGTACTTTTATGGAATCATTTGATACATATTATTTCTCCCTTGTTGAGCTATTCTTTTTGAGACTAGTATTCTCTGTTGTGTCTTTCCTTGTGAACTCATTCTACCTCTTCTTTGTGTTCCAAAGTTCTTGAGTTGATTTACTTG